CATGTATCATACTCCAGTTCCATCAATTCAAATTTACTTTTGGTATCAGGGTAAGAGCTACTGCATATATATTCAGTGAAGCTGAACCTTTCATAATCAGCATAAAAACAGACTGATGGACCATTTCCAGGATGCTACTAAAAGTAGCTTTTTAAAAAAAATATTAACGTACTGAAACAATATTAAGTTTATTTAAATACAGATGTGGGATTATTCCATTCTGTCCATATTTATTAAATACCTTCCAAAATGTTCTTTAATTCAGTCCTAGATATTCTTGGGAGCTATGAGCATTTCCCTTTAAGAAATGTAACTTCCATAATAGCTCCCCAGAGACTCTGGAGGGGAGGAGGAGGGGAAATATTTTAATTTAAAAGTTGATTGGTTTGCCAAAAGACGCAGCCAGATTTGCTTCTCTAAAACTTCTGATAGGGTCAGATGTGCTTGGCAGACTCGTGCGATATCTTCACAAGATGCCCTGCCCCGTATTCCAAAGCAAGAGCAGCTTCATTTACCATTTCTCCAGCACCTGGTCCTAGAATATGTGCTCCCAGTACTCTATCTGTTGATTTCTGCCCAAGAATCTTCACCACATCATCTGTGTCAGCATTTGTTTTAGCTCTGCTGTTAGCAGCAAATGGGAATTACCCAACTTTATACTACTCTTCTTTCAACTGCTCTTCTGATTTGCCATCCCAAGCAACTTCCAGATGAGTATAAATCACTGATGGGACACAATTGTAGTCGATGTGCACGGCACCACAAGCCATTCCCTCAACACAGATAATGCCTTCATCCTCTGCTTTGTGAGCCAGCACTGGACCAGCAACCACGTCACCAATAGCAGAGATATTTGGAATTTTAGTCTGGAATCTGGTATTCACTGGAATTCTACCTCTGGGGTCGAGCCCAATGCCAAGTGCTTCTAATCCCAAATTCTGAGTAAAAGGTCGTCGACCAATACAAACCAAGAGTACATCACAAGTGATAACTTCAGCCTTTCCACCAGATGCAGCTTCAATAGAAACATCAATTTTTCCATCTGACTTCTTGGTGGCACCAGTAACCTTTGTATTAAATTTACAATTTTATTCAATCCCTGTTTCTGAACGATCCATTGAAAGTTTTTAGATATCTCCATATCCCAATTCCACCAACATGACCCAAAAACTCAACTACTGTCACATCTGTGCCAAGTCTTTGCCAAACGGAACCCAATTCTACTCCTATTACTCCTGCCCCAATGACAACCATCTTGTTTGGAACTTTTTTTAAAGACAAAGCACCTGTAGATGACACTATTGTATCTTCAACAATCGTGATTCCAAGAAAGGGAGTAACTTCTGAACCTGTACCGATGAGGATGTTCTTTGTATCAATCACCTGAGTGCTCCCATCAGCCTTAGAAGCAGTGACCTGATTTTTGCCAGTTATCTTCCCATATCCATTGACGTGAACAACCTTGTTCTGTTCGAATAAATGGGTGATTCCACCAGTTAAAGCTTTTACTGCAGTACTCTTCTGTTCCACCATCTTCTATAAATTCAAGCGAACTTCAGACACTTCAGTTCCCCTAGATGCAAAATCCTTTCCATGAGCCATATGGTAATAATGAGAATTATTCAACAAAGCCTTAGAGGGAATGCAACCAACATTCAAGCACGTTCCACCAAGAGTGTCATTCTTCTCAATGCAGACTGTCTTGAAACCTAACTGGGAAGCTTTAATAGCAGCAACAGAACCTATCACTGTCACATCAGCATCAATCGGTTGATCTGCATATGTTCTTAGAGGAGCTGCAGAAACTCCTTGAAGACCAGGAGGTAATAGGCACAAATGACCTCTCTTGGCCAAGGAGTAGTACACGCGACTCCAGTTCTGCATCTTACCCCTGCACTTTCCTTGACACTAGGGCTTTCACCTCCGCTAAGGGCCACCACCGCCTTGCCAAGGTCTCCGGGCCCTGCGCATGCACAGGAGCAGCCTGACGGCATCGCCTGGCCCCCTTGTTATATTTAAACAACTGCTTCTTGGTCTATACATAGGTTTTACAGGAAGGGAATTAAGTGTTTTGGGATTTCCATTCCTCTCAATGTCAGCCATAATTTGTTGCGATCCACGCAAAGGCCTTTACATAATCAGTATAACACAAGTAAACATCTTTCTGGTATTCTCCACTTTCAGCCAAGATCCATCTGACATTAATCAGCAACGAAGATTCCTCCTGCCATGGTGTCTTCTGATTCTAAGAAGTTGAATTTCTAATTATTCACTTTACATGTACTGTTCCAACTGCTTTTTAATAATCTTCACCTTCAAGATTTTACTTGCAAATATTAACGATACTGTTTGATAATTTCCACACTCTGTTGGATCATGTTTTTTTTAGAATGGGAATAAATATAGATCTCTCCCAGTCAGTTGGCCAGGTAACTGTCTTCCAAATTTCTCGGCTTAGACTAGTGAGCCTGGCCAGGACTGCCTCTATTGGTTGAAACATCTCTGTTGATATTCCATCTAGTCCTGGGGCTTTAGTTTTTTAACATCCCCCCGCCCCAGTGTATTTAGTGCCGTTAGAATTCTTCCTTTGTTACCACTGGAACTTGATAATATGTTACTTCATAAAATGGATCCGTGTTGACCATTTCTTCTTGGTACAATGACTGTGTATTCATATGGTGTGGAAACCCAGGACAGCAGTAGCAGTGGCATCTGTAACAGGAAAAGGTACAATCTCAATGTCCCCCACTGCCCTTCCCACATGAAGGGAGACTTGCTCCACCACCACCACCACTACTGACCAGGTGTTCAGGCCCACCCCTCCAGGCCCTGCTCAACCTCAGGCCACACCCACATCATCTTTTATCTGGAGCCTACAGACTCTGCCACACCTAACACTTGTCAGTCCCTAGATGGTCCTCCTCCTAGGAGTCCTTCCTCCTACACTCCACAGTCACATCCAGAGCTGTGCTCTCTGCAGAGCGATCCTGAATTCCTAGCTTGGCAGTCAGTCTCAACACTGGACATCTCTGACCTGCCTATACCCATAGTCTAGACTGGCAAAAACATCATCTCTAGCCAGGCAAGCTAGCCTAGGCTCCTCTGAGGCCTACAGAAACTGCCAAGGCTGAGTGTCCCAACCCTCAACACAGGCTATATCCTGTGACCTGGCTCACATCTTGGAGCCTTAGTCAGTCATCATTTAAACAAAAACTCTGACCTCACTGTGCACCCTGACTCTGATTTTCTGCTAGGCTGGCAGATACACTGTCCCAGACCAGACAGCTGGTTTTCCATTTCCCACAGCACATGCTTGTTGTTTTATGATAGTTGTACACTTTGTTCCCTTTATAGTTTGTTCTTATGAGCAAGGGAACTTGCCTGTTGTACTGGTGCTGCTTTAAATTTTATTCTTTTTCGTATGTGTACCATCAAATGGGATCTGACTGGTACAGGTGGAGATTGCCCCTCCTTCTGCAGCAGAACATCTGGTGGATTCGAACCGACTACCTCTGGGATTGCAGTGCAGCTTCCTGCCACAAGGCCACCAGAGCTTCCAGCCACCAGTACTTTTAATACCAGCAAGGGTCACTCATGGTGGACAGTATTCAGAATATGACAAAGAAGTAGGACTAGTCATCTACTTCTGAAATAACAGGTTTGAAAAAGCCTTATGAATAATGTTTTTTATTACCTAATCTTGAAGACTTTTGCATGTACACAAAAAAGTACTTTCAAGTAAACTTTAGAGTTCATATTGCTGTTTTTAGTTGCTCTCCCTTGAATGGACTCCAGTGCACAGCAACCCTGTGAACAAAAGGGCTGAACTCTTCTTGACCCTGGCCATTCTCACCAACTCTGCCCGGCTCAAGCCCACTGCTACTGTGTCAACTCAGCTTGCTGAATTCACCTTAAACTGATCTTTTTTCTCTATATAGTGGGTTTTAGGTGCCATTCAGTCGACTACAATTCATTTGAGACTCCCTAAACAACATATTAGAATCTTGCCTGCTCTTGTGCCATGGATCTGCCAAGCTTGAGAGCCCATGCCAATATTAAATAGTTGTGTATGTATGATAGGGCTAAGGAGTTGGCTGGCAACCCACAGGCACACAGTTTGAACACACTAGCTGCCTCACAATATGCTCCCTTGTGATTTGCTGCCTCTGAGATTCCTCTGGAGAGTCAGTGATGAGTTAGTTTTGACTCAATGGCATATAACACATGAAATAAAATGCTGCCAGAATTCTTTAAAATTGCATTATGGTCTATACTGCATTGCGAATGGACCGCTTAGCCCTACACCCAGTATTCTCCGCATTCTGGTGCTTCATCCACTGCTAGAATGCCGTATTAACTCCGATTGTTTCTATGTTATCATTGGATCCGAACCGACCCATAGCTGACCCTCGGTGAATGTTAATAACACGGGAGGAGATTGCCCATATTTCTCCGCCGAAGCAGCTGGTGGATTCAAACCTCGAACCTTTGGGATTGCAGCGCAGATTCTTGCCACTAGGCCACCAGTGATGCTCTTGTGTCTCCTATTAGACCTGTTTCTTAGGAAGTTGTGGTGGCTTAATGGTAAGGAATTGAGCCCCCCTACTCAAGGGTCCGTGGTTCGTATCCTCAGTAGCTGCTCCATGATTTACTACCTTTGAAAAACCCCTGGAGGGTCAGCTTTGGGGTCAGTTCCGACTCGACGGGACGTAGCAACAGACCTATTTCCCAACTACCCTGCACACCAGGCATGAAAGGCAGATTTTAAAAGAAAAAAGGAAGGGATAAGAACTTATTTTAAAACAAACACATAAAGAACATTACTTTTACTTTTCTTTCCATTCCCCACGCTGCAAGACTGTATCTCCCAGTGGAAAACAAGAGCGGAAGAAGGTCCCAGGCCCCCGACCCCCGGCTGCCGGAGCCGTGAGCTAAGTGGCGAGCACGGCCGCCGACAGGCAGCACCCTCCCGGCTCCTCCTCTCCGCCGCCGACCTCCCCAAGATGGCGGGCGGCTCGGCTCCGCTTCCGCTTCCGGGGCGACCGGCGAGGCCGGGGGGGCAAGATGGCGGCGGCAGCCGGGGCCCGCGGCCGGTGCGAGCTGTCTCCTTGCTCCGGCCCGGCTTGGTTCCTCAGCCTTTCCGCCTTGCTGAGCGTGGCCGCTCGAGGGGCCTTCGCCACCACGCACTGGGTCGTCACGGAGGACGGGAAGATCCAGCAGCAGGTAGCGGCCATGGGGGTGTGTGTGTGTGGGGGGGTGTCCCTCGCCCCGCGGGGCTTCCCGGGCGTCTCTCGGCCCCTGGCAATTTAAATCCGTGCGGTCCCGCCCCGAGACCGCCTTCCCTCGGTCCCCGCGCCCGGCCTCTGCCGCCGGGCAGCGCTCCGCCTGCCACCCCGTGGGCCGCGTGGGGAGAATCCCCGGGTTTGGGGGGGGGTGCGAAGGAGCGAACCCCGAGGGCATTTCCTGCGTTCGGCCTTTGGGAATCACAGATGCCCTCCCGCTGCCGCTAGTGCGCCCCCTGCCCTCCCGGCGGACGTGGGGAGCAGGTGGCAGCACCGGGGCGAGTGCGGGTCCCGTCGGGGAGGTGACAGCCCTGCCTCCCCGACGTGGTGGGCCTGTAACACCTGTCCCTGCACACACCCCCCCCCCCAGGCTGCCAGTCCCTTCAGTCTGATGGTTTCTGCTTGTACCGTTAACCCAGGTGGTCTCTTAGGCAACACTCACACACCCTACACACACACACACACACACACACCCCTCCGAGGAATAAAGCTCCGAGGGGCCGCTGGTGGCGTCGCCTGCACAGCTCTGTGGTTAATCGCCTTTGATTCCTAGAATTTGTATTGTTTCTTTACCTAGTTCGCGTGACCCAGCCCTCTCCTTCTTGCGGGCTGGGTGGGGGGTTGGAGGGATGTGCCATTTCCTGGATTCATTTCAGCCTGGACTGATTCTCACAGGAGAGAGACTGCTTTCCTTATATAACTTTTATGATTGCCTGTGTCCGTGGATGCTGCTCATGCCTGACGAGCACGTGTGTGTATGTGTGATGTGTTGGCAGAATCCTGGTGCGCTTAATGACTTCCAGCAGGTGAGCGCACGGTGGCCAGATCTAAACGTGAGGAAAGTAAAGAGGTCTGGGCCCGCAGATCTCAAACTGCACCTTACCCCACCCCCGCATTGTTGCATCAAGTCGCTGAGCCTGTGAATTGTGTGTTTACAATGTTTCAGATTTACCTTTGCCACGGGATGGTAAATGTCATCTCTAGCATAATAAGCTAAACAAGTTACATTTTAGCTAAACAAGTAACATTGAAGAATCAATCAATGATGGTGTTCCTGAGTAGTTTTGAGTGTATCTGAGAAAAAGATTATGGGTAGCATTTTCTTAATATCAGAAAAAGTTGCTTTTCTTGACTATACAAGCTAAGGTTTAAAATTGAGTTGTCGGAGGCAGCATGGCCGTGCTTTTCAGAAGCCGTAGGAAACACTACAAATTCTTTTCACTGTAATCTTACGTGAGACCAATTTGCTGTGCTCTCTGCTCTTGCTTCCTCTTGGTAGTTTTCCTCAAGAAACTCGTGAAGTCAGGTGTGGAATTTAGTCACTCCTGGTGCATTTTGGGGAGCCCTTCTCCCATTGGTTCTTCTGCAGTATTGTTTTGGGCCATAGCTATTTATACTCTCTGACTTTGACTTCTTCCCATTTTGGTGTCCTGACACTCAACGTAAAAAGGAGATCATCTGAAAAGTAAAAAGAAAGCTAGTGGAAATATATTATTTGTGTGATGAACATTGCAGTGGAAAAGTAGATCTGATCTTGTGAGATTTCACTTTCTTTGTAACTAATTATCTTCTTTTTGCACATTGGATACTTAGGTGGTGATGGGGAAGGGTTGGGGGTTCCTGTTAACTTGCCTCAGAAAAGGGGTAATCTGATGGAACTTCTTGATCTCTGTCCAAGTCACCTCAACGGTAATAAGTTATTTTGCTGGTGGTTGTGTGCTGGGAGTTGATTCTGACTTATTTAGGTTTAACTTGAAAAAAGTATGGATTCTTTCTGCATTCTTCGAGTTTTTAAAAAATCTGCTATGTAACACTGTATTCAGATAGTAACCAGAAGAAACAAAGTTACTGGCCACGATGTAGCAATAAGAAGCTGGGGAGAGGAAGTTGGACCTGATTTAAGGAAAAAGTCAGCTTTTGAGTTCTACTTTGATAATGCATTACCCGTGGTACACTGGCTGGCACTAATTTGAGTGGAAGCAGAATCCAGCCTCATTTTAGACTGTGATTAATTCTCACATTTGAATGTACTTATATTTAAAGATTGGACAACCCCCTTTTAACATGGATATGGGGTGTACTGCATATCTGTTTGTACATTGAGAAACATAATGTTAAAAGCTAAGTAATATGCCTCATGTCCTGACAGCCAAATTCATTGCTACTTTGTGTTTTGTTACATTACCTGAGTGAGTAGAGAATGTGGTTTTGGGTTTTGGCTTGGGGTTGTGTGGTGTGTGGGGTGTGTTTTGTTTGTTTGTTTGTTTGTTTTTAATCCTGTGATTTGAGTGGAAAATTTTACAAAGTGATCTAATTAACCAGGTTGCTCCATAGGGGCAAAGGTATGACTTTGTCTCACTTACTTTCTCGGGCGTGTTATCAGAAAGGCCCAGTCCTTGAAAAGAACATGGTGCTTGGGAGAGTAGAGGCTAGAGGGTAATCCTTAACGAGACACATTGACTACACCAGTGGGTTTGTTCAACTCGGCAGAGATGGTGCAGATGTGGGCAAACTTTTGATCTTTTGGCTCTGACTTGGGGTTAACCAGAGGGTACCCAATGATGACAGCAGCTTCTGGAAGTCCTCAGGTGCCTCACATACTACACAAAAGAAAGGCTGACTGTTTGAACCCACTCAGAGACATTTAGGCATCTCTTTGCAAATATGGTCGCAGCTTGATAATCTTATCTACCTCGGTTCTTCTCTGATTCACTGCATCCTTAGGAGGTGGCATCAACTAGGCAACTATGTTTTGTTTTGTTTTTAAATAGTAGTGGAAGGGCTTAAAGGCAAACCAAAATAGTAGCAAGCTTCTTAGAAAGTTAGAATGGCAAATGCCTTTTGGAACTCATCCCCTGCTATTTAAACTTGTCCAAATTAGATATAATAACAGGTATTTTCCAGTGAACATAGAGAAATAGTTATGAATGAAATAACCTGAATTGTCTAAAATCTAAATAGGACCGTTTCTCTGCACTTCAGGTATAGTTTTTACTATAGTAAGGAGTCTTCCAGGAGAAGAAAGCATTCATTTGATTTTTACTTTTCAAGATTTAGTACTCACAAGTTAAAACTGTAAATGCATTAGAATGCATTGTGGCTCTTCCGTGCTGTTAAGTCCACTCCAACTTATCAGCACCCGATAGATCAGGGTACTCTAATACTGTGTTAGGGTCTCTAACACTGTGTGATCTTTCAAGGAATTAGACTGCCACATCTGTGTCCTGTGGAGTGGCTGGTTGGTTTGAACTGCGACTTTTCAGTTAGCATCCCTGCGTTTAACCAGTGCATTACCAGGGCTCTGTGTTAACACAACATGTTGTCGTTGTTGTGTGCTTTTGAGTTAAATACAACTCATAGTGACCATGTGAACAAAAGATTGAACTCTGTTCTATTCTGTGCCATCTTCATCATCTCTGTCACTCTATCTCTTTGAAGATCTTCCCCACTTTCACTGACCCTGTCTCTGCCTTTCCCAGAATGATGTCTTTTTACAAGGAATAGCCTCTCTTAACAACATGCCCAAAGTATCTGAGATGCAGCCCTTGACTCCAAGAAGCACTCTGGCTGCACGTTCTCAAGACATACTTGTTTGTTCTTTTGGTGGTACATGGGATGTTCAGTACTCTTCTCCAACACCAAAGCTCAAAGACACTGATTCTTCTATCATCTTTATTTATTGTCCAGCTCTAAGATACATAAGAAGTGATTGAGAAGATGATGGACTGCATCAGGGATGCGTTGTTGTTGTTGTTGTTGTGTGCCTTCAAGTCGCTTGCGATTCATAGCGACCCTATGTACAACAGCCCTAAAC